GTTTCACCATGTTGGCCAGGATGGTCTCGATCTCTTGACCTCGTGATCCGCCCGCCTCAGCCTCCCAAAGTGCTGGGATTACAGGCTTGAGCCACCGCGCCTGGCCGATAAGACAGAATTCTAAGCCATTGCTTTCAGTTACTTTTCACCGAGATTTCTCCTGTCTAATGCACAAAGCATGCGTTCATAAACTTGTTTTCTTCTTGTTAATCCGTCTTTTATTACAGGAGTCCCAACTAAGACCTAAGATGGGGAGAGGTAATCTTTAGCCTCTTGTACATATATACTTGTGACATAGTTAATGATATGCATGTTGAAGTATTTCAGGGCAAGTTTGCTAATGTTTGCAACTTTGAAACGCATCAAAAACTAAGACTGATGAAAGGATGGAGGGATTGATAGATTTGTTTTCAAATAATGAGAATAAAACATGAGTAAAAATATTTTCAACTGTTGGTCTGAAAATTTTTATAATAAAATATAGAAAAAAATTCATTTTTTTAAATGCAAAAATTCTATAATAGTTGAGTGTGGTGGTGCACACTTGTATTCCCAGCTACTCTGGAGGCTGGGAGGGTGGGAGGATTGCTGGAGGCCAGGAGTTTGAGGCCAGCCTGGGGAACACAGAAAGTTCCCCATCTCTCTAAAAAAAAATTAAAAATTGTGGTCTGAGAAACTAAAATAGATACCCCTTTATCAGGTAAGATGGACCTTAAGGTTAAGGAAACAAAAGTCAGCTACCTGTTGAGGGTTTAGGGCACAGCTGGCATGGCAATTTTCTAAATTCGTACAAGAAAAACACTTACGGTAAGGTGCCATGGTTTATGCCTACAATCCCAACACTTTGGAAGGCCAAGGCTAGAGCATCACTTGAGACCCAGGAGTCCAACAGCAGCCTGGACAACAGTTAGACCCCATCTCTTGATAAAAAAGAAAACAGAAACATTAGCCAGTCATGATGGCATGTGCTTGTAGTCCTGGCTACTCGGGAGGATGAGGTGGGATAATCACTTGAGCCTAGGAGTTCCAAGTTGCAGTGAGCTATGCTTGTGCCACTGCACTCCAGCCTGAGTGAAAGAGTGAGACCCTGCCTCAAAACACACACATACACACACACACACACACAATTTTTTTAGTGAGAATGGAGACACCTGTAACTTTTAGCTTACCACTAATAACTAAGAGCTCTACATCAACCTGATTTTACTGTTTGTTCCAGGAAATTCTTGCCCACAAAGTTAGGCTATAGATCAATCCATACCTTCATTGTGAGCTTTAGTAACGTCCCATTTATCTGGTCTATAATTTGCTCATCTAGCTGCAAAGCTTCCTTCTCAGGCACTGAGGAGTTGATCACTCAATTGGGCAAATTGCCTTCCTTGTCAAAAAAGGGGCAAAATCTAACTCCAATTTCTTTACCTTGTTGGGTGTACTATCTTAAACTACTCTACCATGAACTATATCCAATCCCAGTGAAATCCCCATATTGAAAAGACCATCTTAAACCACTCTAACTAGACTACAGAACCCTACAAAAGTCACCCTCTGGAAGGCCAAGGCTGGCAGATTGCTTGAGCCCAGGAGTTCGAGACCAGCCTGAGCAATACGGTGAAACCCTGTCTATAGAAAAAATAAAAAAATTATCCAGGCATGGTGACACATACCTGCAGTCCCAGCTACTCTGGAGGCCGAGGCAGGAGGATTGCTTGAGCCTGGGAGGTCAAGGCTACAGTGGGCTGTGATTGTGCCACTGCACTCCAGCCTGAGTGACAGTGAGACCCTGTCTCATAAAATAAAAATAAAAATCACCTTTGCCGTTCCCTCTGAGAAACTACCAAGATTATGTCAAAGCAATGTCCTTTTTGAGACTGAGTCTCACTCTATTGCCCAGGCTGGAGTGCAGTGGCATGATCTCACTGCAACCTCCACCACCTGTGTTCAAGCGATTCTCATGCCTCAGCTTCCTGAGTAGCTATTACTACAGGCGTGAGCCACCATGCCTGGCTAATTTTTTTTTTTTTTTTTCTCTAGACAGGGTTTCATCATATTGCTCAGGCTGGTCACGAACTGGACCTCAGGTGATCCACACCCCTCAGCCTCCCAAAGTGCTGGGATTACAGGTGTGGGCCGTGACTGGCCACAATGTTCTTTCTTTTTTGTTGGGGGGGTGGAAGGAGTCTTGCTCTGTCACCAGGCCAGAGTACAGTGGTGCAATCTCGGCTCACTGCAACCTCCAACTCCCAGGTTCAAGCCATTCTCCTGCCTCAGCCTCCCAAGTAGCTGGGATCATAGGCATGCGCCACCAAGCCCAGCTAATTTTTGTATTTTTAGTAGAGATGGGGTTTCACCGTGTTGGCCAGGCTGGTGTCAAACTCTTGACCTCGTGATCCACCTGCCTCAGCCTCCCAGAATACTGGGATTACAGGCATGAGCCACCGTGCCTGGCCAATGTTCTTTTTTAATGCAGTAAGAGACTCAAACTTGCTTAGTGACAGGTTATTCTGGTGGTCTTTGGTGGGGAGAGTTGGCAGTTGCAGTCAAGAGAGTTCACAAATAACAAAGTTTGGGAAATGCTGGCTTCCCATATGCTAAGACAAAGCAAATCTGGGATGGTTAGGAACCTCCTTTTATAGTCCAGACAGAGATTAAATGGCACCATCAACAGATTAAATTAGGTAATATGGAAGGCCAGGGAGGAACAACAAAATAAAGGAGGCAGTTGGTTAAGAACTGAACTTCCTTTCTTGTCCTCCTCCTTATGCATGGTGAACACAAGATACAGACAACTACGGGAGCTTCTGAACTAGTGGATATAGTTACTTTATGGTATGTCATGCTGTAATTTATATTATCTTACCCTTATTGATCTTTAGATTGTGCCCAAATATTTTGCATCTTTACTTGGAGGATAAAGTACTTAGCCTATATATAAAGGACGCCTCTGCAGCCCTAGCAACAATCTACCTCTAAAAACCTTCATTCCGCTTTATTTTTAGAGACAGGGTCTCGCTGTATCGCCCAGGCTAGAGTGCACTGGCATGACCTTGGCTCACTGCAGCTTGACCTCCTGCGCTCAAGCGATTCTCCCACCTCAGCCTCTTGAGTAGCTGGGACCACAGGCTACTGTGGTCCATGCACAGCTTATTTTTTTTTTTTTGAGATGAGTTTAGCTATGTTGCCCAGGTGGGTCTCAAACTCCTGAGCTCAAGCAGTCTCCCTCCTTGGCCTCCCAAAGTGCTGAGAATACAGGAGTGAGCCACTGTGCCCGGCTTCAAGCTCTAAACTGCAGCAATATTTTAATCGCTGGTAGTTCCTTTGCACTCAGTTTCCTAAACTTGAAATCCCACTCTTCCTCGGGCATCCTTGTCCACATTCGTAACGTTTCAACACAATTTAGACTGATTTCCTTCTGGAAAGCCTTCTCCAAGCCTTCCAGGTATGGTTCTGCAACACCCTATGTATTTCTCTAACAGCATTCAGGCACTGCATTGCATTTGTTTGTTTTCAGGGGTATCTTTCTCATGCAGTTTTTTTTCTTCTCTATAGAACCACAAAGTCTAATAAGCTGTTTCTTTTTTCTTTTTTTTTTGAGACTGAGTCTTGTTCTGTCACCCAGGCTGGAGGGCAGTGGCCGGAACTCAGCTCACTGCAACCTCCGCATCCTGGGTTCAAGCAATTCTCCTGCCTCCACCTCCCGAGTAGCTGGGTAGCTGGGTTTACAGGCGCCTGCCACCGCACCTGGCTAATTTTTGTATTTTTAGTGGAGAAGGGGTTTCACCATCTTGGCTAGGCTGGTCTCAAACTCCTGACCTCTTGATCCACCCACTTCGGCCTCCCAAAGTATTAAGATTACAGGTGTGAGTCACCGCGCCCAGCCTAAGCTGAGTTTCTTGAGAATAAATTCAATAACTTGTATACATCTGAATCTCTAAGAGTTGTACAGTACCAGGTAAACTGTAGAGCTCAATAAAAGTCAGATGAACTAAACTGAAGAGTGAGGTGGGAGGATAGATGGACAGGTCAGGAAAAAGAATTTTTTTTCTCCCAAAGTGTTGGGATTACAGGTGTCAACCACTGCACCAGGCCAGGAGATAATTTTTTTTTTTTTTTTTTGAGACGGAGTCTTGTTCTGTGGTCCAGGCTAGAGTGCAGCTGCGCAAACTCAGCTCACTGCAACTTCTGCCTCCCGGGCTCAAGTAATTCTCCTGCTTCAGCCTCTTGAGTAGCTGGGATTACAGGTGCCCGCCACCAAGGCCGGCTAATTTTTGTATTTTTAGTACAGACGGGGTTTCACCAAATTGGCCAGACTGGTCTCAAACTCTGACCTCTTGAACTGCCTGCCTTGGCCTCCCAAAGTGCTGAGATTACAGGTGTGAGCCACCGTGCCTGGCCAGGAAAGATGACTTCTAAGTATGAAATGTAGGTTGGGAGGACCTCAGTAGCTTGGGAGAAGTGCACAGTGGTGAGTTATAGGATGGCAATGAGGTCACAGAATTATGAGGTCAAGGTTAACAACGCGTGCTGGCAAAACTGACGAGGGACGGAGCAAGGAGTAGGACTTGGCATTAGGACATGCGTGTTGGGGGGTAGGTAGTTGGAGCCGGGCCCCACTTTCGAGTTGTCTTAAACGCAGGAACCAAAGACCGTGGAGGGGCCAGGAACCGTTAGGGAGATAAGAAAGGTGCTGTAGCTCACATTCACACTTACGGCCACAAGGCCACGGGAACAGGCTGTCTCCTCACAGCATCAGCTTTCCCTTTGGCTTCATTTCCCTCTGGAGAGCTCTTTCTCACGGACGCTGCAGAAACCGAAGGGGCAGCCCCTGCCCTGCTACCCTCCAGGGAGCCACCATTCTAGATCCCACGCTCCTCTGGACATCATGTGATCTGAGGGACGACTTGCCTTTCTTCTGAAAAACGGCTACAGAGTTAAAAACACAAGCCCCATGAATAACAACGCAGCCGTGGGACGCCGCTTTCTCCCAGCCTCCCCGCCGCAGGAAAAGATCCACTGCCTCACCGGAAAACGCGACCGGAAGGGGTGGGCTTTCCACCTGGACCAGGCTCGTCTGCCACCATGGCTTTACGGGGGGTTGTTGGCATTTTCTTCCTCTCTGCTGTCCCCCTTGTGTGTCTGGAGCTCCGGCGTGGGATCCCGGATATAGGTAAGTGTTGGCTTTTTCCCTTCGACAGTCACAGCTGGTAATTTTCACAGGAATGTTGCATAGAATGACCGCCTCTCCGGCTGCGTCGCTTCGGAGGGGCTTTGACTACAACTCCCAGACTGCATCGCCCGTGCCTCCCACTTCCGGTGCTGACTCCACTTCGCGGAACCATTTCCCTACAGGTGTGATGGTTTTGCGTGTAACGGGACAGAGACGAAGAGCATAACGGCAGTCATAACAGTACTTTCACATCCTGGTTAACACTCAAAAGGGAATAAACAGACTGATAGGATGAAGGCCTTCTAAGAATTTAGGCTGAGAGGTTTTTTGTTTTGTTTTTAAATTAGAGACAGGATCTCACTATGTTGCCAAGGCTGGCCCCGAACTCCTTGATTCAAGAGATCCTCCTGCCTCGGTCTCTCAAAGTGCTGGGATTACAAGGCTGCGCCACTCCGCCAGGCCTTGAGATGTAAATAAGGGGCCACACCTGTGAAAATCCCTTGGAGGCAGGGAAAGGATAGGGGAGGGGAGTATCCTAGGCAAAAAGATTGTGAGATGTTGGAGGAAAAGGAGAAGGCCATTATGGCTGAATCGAGGAGAGTTGGGGGGAGGAAGAGGAATTGGCTCAGGATAATGACGTTTATTGAACACCTATTGTAAGCCAAACAGTAGGTACTGGTTATTCAATATCTCATTTAATCTACACTACAATCAGAGGAAGGTAAATCCCCCTTGCCCCCGGCCCCCCCCACCACGGAGTCTCCCTCTGTTGCCCAGGCAGGAGTGCAGTGGCGAGATCTTGGCTCACTCTGGCTCCCGGCTTCAAGCAATTCTCTGCCTCAGACTCTCGAGTAACTGGGATTACAGACGCCAGCCACCACACCTGGTTAATTTTTGTATTTTTAGTAGAGATGGAGTTTCACTACCTTGGCCAGGTTGATCTTGAACTCCTGACCTCGTGATCCACCCATCTTGGCCTCCCAAAGTGCTGGGATTACAAGCCGGAGGTATTGCTCCCGGCTGGGTAGGCACTGTTATAATCCCCATTTTACAGTTGAGAGAATTGAAATTTAGGGAGGTTAAGTGACTTCCCTAAGGTTTCTAAAAGGTGGCTCCATTCTGTATGGAGAATGCTTTGGACGGAAGCTATGGTGGAAGCAGTGAGGCACATCACGCTTTGGAAGTAGACAAGTAGTGATGATGGCCTGGACTAGGACAGTAACAGAGGAGTTGAAATGTAGACAGATTTGGGATATTGACAAAGTAGGATCAACCAACAGGCTTTGTTGATGGGTTGATGTTTATGGCAAGGGAAAGGAAGGATTCAAGGACGACTGCCTCATGGGGGATTGAACAAACGTAGGCGGTTGGTAATGCTACTGGTAAAGGGAAAAGGGAAAGAAAACCAGTGGAGGTGCTGAGAATCACGAGTTGATTTTTGGACATTTGAGTGATCAGCTTACATGTCTGTCTCCCTTTTTAAAATCAGTTCTAAAGTTAGAGACCATAATGAAACTTAACTTTGTATACTCCCTTTCTCCACTTTTCTCCCTACCCCCAGGGAGTAAGATGTCTAGAAATGTTGCCTGCAATAAAAAATGGAAAAAAATGCTTTAAAAAATGTACAAAGACTTTCCTAAAGCTTTCCACTCACTCAAGCTGTGTTAGAAGATAGCAAGACCTTTATCCAAAGGATCAGAAATGTTGAATTCATACTTACCATTTCCAAAATTGACCTGTTCCCTTGTCTTTTCAACATCCACCCCTACTCTGCTCCTTTATTTCATTATTACTATTTTTTGAGACAGGGTCTTGCTTAGTCACCCAGGCTGCAGTGCAGTGGCATGGTCATGGCTTACTGAAGCTGGACTTCCCGGCTCAAGCTATCCTCCCACCTCAGCCTTCCGAGTAGCTAGGACTACAGGCACCACACCACCGTGCCTAGCTAATTTTTTGTATTTTTTGCAGAGATGGGGTTTTGCCATGTTGCCCAGGCTGGTATAAAATTCCTAGGCTCAAGCAATTCCCTCACCTCAGCCTCCCAAAGTGCTGGAATTACAGGCATGAGCCCCCATGCCCCGTCAGAAATACGCTTCTTGAGGGCAGAGGCCAAATGAAATTTGTATTTGTATTCCCAGCACTTACCACAGTGTCTAGTTTAATAGAACTAGGGACAAGGGTTCTGGAAATTGCAACTGGGCTCCTGGCAGCATCTTTATCTAGTTCTTGAAATTTTCATGGAATTAGCTTCTTTCTCATAGAATTCTGAAGGAATGATTGTTTCATTTGGATTGTTTTCCTTTTTTTTTTTCTATATATATACATATATACATATTCTGCTTTTGGATTGATACTTCCAATAATTACTTGTTAACAGTATTTAAGTCTGTTTTACAAATCATACTTTATAGCAGCAGCAGGGCTGGTTATGCCTCTACTAATATTCAGACATATATTGGAAAACTAGCCTTGTCTCTTTCTACTGTGTAAAAACCTTTATTTTTAATACATTTTACTTAAGCTAAATTTTTTTTTTGGAGACAGAGTCTGTCACTCTGTCACACAGGCTGGAGTGCAGTGGTGCAATCTTGGCTCACTGCAACTTCCACTTCCTGGGTTCAAGTGATTCTCCTGCGTCAGCCTCCTGAGTAACTGGGACTACAGGCACTTACCACCATGCCTGGGTAATTTTTTTGTATTTTTAGTAGAGATGGGGTTTCACTATGTTGACCAGGATGGTATCGCTCTCCTGATCTCGTGACCTGCCTGCCTCAGCCTCCCAAAGTGTTAGAATTACAGGCGTGAGCCACCATGCCCAGCCTAAATATTTTAAGGCCAGTTCATTAGGTTTGTTACCTATTGAAGTACACTGCTTATGGGGTCTATAGTTAAAAAACAAAACAAAACTCACTTAAAAACTTTTTTTCTTGACAGATATACACACAAATCGAGGTGCGTTTTTTTTGAGACAGTTTTGCTCTTGTTGCCCAGGCTGGAGTGCAATGGCGGGATCGCAGCTCATTGCAACTTCTGCCTCCCGGATTCAAGCGATTCTCCTGTCTCAGCCTCCCGAGTAGCTGGGATTCCAGGCATGTGCCACCACACCTGGCTAATTTTGTATTTTTAGTAGAGACGGGGGTCTCTCCATGTTGGTCAGGTTGGTCTCGAACTCCTGACCTTAGGTAATCCGACCGCCCCAGCCTCCCAAAGTGCTGAAATTACAGGTGTGAGCCCTTGCACCCGGCCAAATCTACTTTCATATCCTCATGTTTGCAAATTGCTTACTTGTTAGAACAAACAGCAGCAGTATGGAACATAAATCCCACAACTCAAGGTTTTGTTGTGCAGTGGTGCAATCTTGGCTCACTGCAACCTCTGCCTCCAAGGTTCAAGCCATTTTTGTGCTTCAGCCTCCCGAGCAGCTGGGATTACTGGTGTATACCACTATGCCTGGCTAATGTTTGTATAGCTGGGGTTTCACTATGTTGCCCAGGCTGTTTATGAACTCCTGAGTTCATGCGATCCACCAGCCTCGGCCTCCCAAAGTGCTGGGATTACAGGCATGAGCCACTGCACCTGGCCTCAGTGGTTTCTTTACATACCAGTACTCTAGATATGAAACTACATTTGTAATGGCCAGAGATAAAATAGATTAAATTATGTGCTGTATTGAATGACACCTGAATCAATGGTTAATACTGTCAATTTGGGGGGATCTGTGAATTTTTTTTTTTTAATCATGTTTCTTCTCTAAACAACTTTAAATTACTAGGGTTTTTAAAAGAATAATATTAGGCCATACATGGTGGCTTATGCCTGTAATTCCAGCACTTTGGGAGGCCAAGGAGGAGGGATCACTTGGAAAAAAAAAAAAAGAATATTTTCTGGTGGCACACATCTGTGGTCCCAGCTACTTGGAAGGCTGACATGGGAGGACTGCTTGAGCCCAGGAGGTCGTGGCTGCAGTGAGCTGTGATCAGATGCTGCACTTCACCTGGGCCAAGTCAGTGAGATTCTATCTCAG